CGAAGCTTGAATAAGCGCGACATGGATGAGGATGAGGAGGAGTTCCCTGGTATCTCTGCCACTGGCGGTGCAAGGGATGACGTGCCTCGGCTACATACTGTAGGAAGGTGGTAGGGTGCGGGATAGTCCAGCGAATGCTGGCCCGCGTGGACGAGCCATGAGAAGCAGCTCCAGCGAGCTGAAATGACGGCGCTGATAAAGGGGTATAACTGGATCCGGTTGGATAGGGTCAGAAATGAGAATGTGAGGGTGGTTGCGCAGGCAGCACCGATCCAAACGAAGCCGCTGGAACAGCACGACCACTTCACGACTCGAGAATAAAACAGCAGCTTCTATAGCAAAAACATTTAAAAATTACCTCCAGGTCGTTGATCTTCTTTTTAAGGGTCTGCGTAAGCCGTCGCAGGTGATCATAGCGTTTGTCTATGTACGACAAGCGATCTTGGAACTGAAATATGAACGTAAAAGAAAGGAACACAGGTGTCACCAAAGCTTTGTACTATTTTTTTTATTTTCTTTGGCTATTCCTCCAAAATTCTACTCTACATCCTTTCTCATTTGTCTACAGATAGTCCAGGTTTACAGAAAATTATTCATCTTCGAAAGATTCATTCCCTTAGGCACATATGAATCTCAATAATCTTACAAAAGTTTGCAAAGTTTTGAAGTGGACTTGCCTGTGAGGAAAATTTTTCTCAATTTTGGGAATGTCTAATTTCGGAGCTCAGATGCAATCGCATTGACCACTTCTGACAGCCCCTTTTCCCTCCCTCTCCACAACAACCAGGTACGACAGCCTCGATGGAATCCTCCAAGCTGCACCCTCTCCCTGGCTATGCTCCTACCCACGCCCATCACAAGCCTATGAAGCTCTCTGTAACGTCTTCAGAGAGGTTCGCGGGAAGTCATTCTTAATCACCATCACGAGATAAATCAGTGCACATTATTTCAAACCTCTCATACTTCCCTTGTGAGTCATTTGTGAAAGATTCAGCCTCGACCCTATTCTTGTGTTCCAGCTGTGCCCAGAGCGGCAATTAACACGAGTTCAAAACAGTGAGATGTTCATCAACAATGTCAAGTTTACATCCAACCCCCCAAAGACACCAAAAATCTCGATAGCTTCATGACATTTGTCATGCTGCAATATTTTGGTACTTACATAGACCTCCTCCAAAG